TTTATTTTATATGTATGGATTTTTGCCTGTCTGTAAGTATACCATGTGCGCATGTCAGATTCCCTGAACTGCAATTAGAGATGGTTGTAATTCACCATGAGGGTGCTGGGAATGGAACTGGGTCCTCTGGAAAAAGTCGGTGCTCTTAGCTGCTGCCATCTCTCCAGTTCTTCTTTCAGCTTTTTGTTGCTGTTATTATTTTCACCTCCATTTTCATTTTAAGTTTCCAGGGTAGTTCTCCCTTTTCTTTTCTTTTCTTTTCTCTTTTCTTTTCTTTTCTTTTCTTTTCTTTTCTTTTCTTTTCTTTTCTTTTCTCTTCTCTTCTCTTCTTTTCTTTCTCTCTCTCTCTCTCTCTCTCTCTCTCCTTTCTTTCTCTCTCTTTCATATATGAAATATATATATTCTGGTTTTGCCTGGATGAACTCTTAACTGATTCAATTTTTTGGGGGGAAAAAAGAATTTTTTGTTTTGTTTTATTTTTCGAGACAAGGTTTCTCTGTGTAGCCCTGGCTGTCCTGGAACTCATTCTGTAGACCAGGTTGGCCTTGAACTCACAGAGATCCACCTGGCTTATTTTTGAAAAATTTTAATTAAATTTTGTGTGTGTGTGTGTGTGTGTGTGTGTGTGTGAGAGAGAGAGAGAGAGAGAGAGAGAGAGAGAGAGAGAGAGAGAGAGAGAGAGAGAGATCAGAGGACAAAACTCAGGTTGTGAGGTTAGTGGCCAGCACCTTTACTCACCGAACCACTCTCCAGCTCTCAAAAGTTTCTTCTTGGTCTCATGTGATTTGGAGGAGAATTCATGAGTCTGAGTTTATATCTTCACCGAGTTTGAGAATTTTCATTCTTTCTTTTCTTCCCCTGCTACTTCATCTCTCCTGTGACTAACTTCATGGAAGTTGGATGGCTTACTAGTGTCCAGAGGATGCTACTAGAATGCCTGCCCGTTACCTGTCAGTTTGGACAGCCCTGCCTTGTGTCCTCAGCTGTCACACCCATGCAGTGAGATGCTCCTATAGAGTGGAGCTTAGTTCTGGAGTTCAGCCTGTCTCTTCTGGTCTTTATTCTTGTGCTGAAAGTTCCAGTCTGTTCATTTCACACGAGCGTGTCTCACCTGTCATCTTGAGCATGTCTGTAGCCACTGTGAGGTGTTTGACTTATTGATTCCAACGTCTGGCAAAATGATGGTGTGCTCTGGAGAGTGTTGACTTTTTTTTTTTTTTTTTTAAACTTATTGGGACAGAGCGACTGTGTTGCCGCAGGGCGCCCAGTTACTTGCTTCTCAGGTCCTGTAGACTTCTCTGGACTGCTTAGAATTGACTCTTAACCCAGGTCAGTTCAGCTAGAGGCGTGGGCAGAATTGAGGTGCAAAAGTTTGAATTTTTTCTTGTGGTTCTTTATTTTCTACATATTTCTCCTTACTTCATGGCTGCTGTGGTATCCAGAAACCATGTTTCCTAACCACTGAAACTGTAGGTTTTGATCCAACTTGTAGCTAGCTGCTCCAGTGTGGTTCTTGTGTCCAGGAGTTCGGATTCAGGACCACGTTATTTTATTCGAATCTGTGTCTCGTGGACTGAGAGTTGTGGCTCTTGAAGAACAGTGCAGATGGTAGAATTAGAATAATAATACCCCCGAGTTGTTGACTTGGTCCTTCTCAGTAAGCTACCCCTGTTGCTTCCTTCAGTGCTCAGAGGTTCAGCAGCTCTTCATTGTAGTTGTCTGAACAGTAGTTCCTGATTCAGATAGCAGTCGGTGTCCTAAAAATCACTTTCACTGGATATAAACTCTTATGCTCATAGTTGCTTTTCTTAAACATTTTCATCTGGCATAATGCACATAAAGCTTTTGGAGAACTTCACTTTGTTCTTCTGGGTTGATATCTATAGGCATGTGTTATGTTTCCTAGTTGTAAAATATTTTCAGGAAATACTCCTTAAATTATAATTTTTATTATTTTCACCTTTTAGTAGTCTTTAATTTCTTTCCTTCTCGCTGTTAAATCTCTGTAGCTTCTCTAGTTGCTTTCTCTCAAATTCTTTTTATTCAGCCCATGAGATGTTAAGTGGGTAAAGGTGCTTGGTGCCAAGCCCAACAGCCTGAGTTCAATCCCGGGAACGCACATGGTGGACAGAGAGAACTGACTCTTGCAAGTTGTCCTTGACCTCCACACATTTCACTGGCTCCTTCACATACACACACAAAATCAATCTAATAAACAAAAGTCTTCTGTATTGTAGTCCTTGTGATTTTGAAGTGTCCTCGTGACCCTAGGTTCTCTCTCTCTCTCTCTCTCTCTCTCTCTCTCTCTCTCTCTCTCTCTCTCTCTCTCAGCTTTTCAAAATGGTTTCTCTGTGTAGCTTTGCGCCTTTCCTGGATCTCTGTAGACCAGGCTGGCCTCGAACTCACAGAGATCCACCTGGCTTATTTTTGAA